AATATGCGCAATTTAAGTGTGTCATCCTCCTTGTTCTATACAATTTGCGTGAAAGTAATTTGTATTTTCCCATTGTTTTGTAATCGAAAAGAAATCGATTACAAGATTGCTGAATGTGGGTGGAAGAATTTAAAAGACATTTAAATGTCTTTTAAATTTAATCAATACTCAAATATCTTTAAAACAAGTTTCCAAATTTTGATTCAAATAAGATTTCTTTTTGTTGAACAGGTGCTCAATGTTCTCAATGAAGAGAAGCTTCTTGCACTTAAGACATAAACTTTTCTTCAATGTTGTAAGGTCATCTTTAAATGGTTTGACCACCATAATATCATATGCAGGGAATACAGTGAACTGTTTGGAAGACTTCTTAATGGGAAGTTACCAAAGAGCTTAAAGTAGTGGAGAATCAAGTACTAGAAGAAGTATGTGTATCAAGCTATTAATTAATATAGTGTTGAAGAAAGAAACCAGATAATGATGTGATTTGATAAGCTTAAATCTTTATCTATTTTTAGTTCAAAAGTCACATCTTAATTCAATTGTCGTTGTGATGTGAAGTGTCAGAAAAACCGAAACCAATCAAAGAGATTGACTCGCTACAAAACTTTCAGGACTTACTATGATATTGATAACATCCAATGACTTGAAGAAGTCAACGCCTAGAATTCATTTCTCATCCTAATTTACATAAATTTCATTTTGGATGATGCCCCGTTAGTATGACGTCATAGAGGGGCTTCCAAAATACTTGGTGAAGGAGGGGATTGAAGAAGGGAAGAGGCTGGTGGCCAGATTTCGTTGTGGTAGTGAGGAGACAGTGAATAGGTACTGGCCGGATTGGGAGACTCTAAAATATAATAAGCTACGGGAAAAAGAAAACACCGGAGCCAGATTCTGGAACGATGAGAGATGGATTCTGGGGGGGGAGGTAGGGGATGGATGAGGGAGTTGGTTGGGACGAGGTGAAGGAGGAAGTTAAGTTAAGTGTTTGGTTTGTCATGTATTAAACAGGAAACTGTAAACTCTTAGTTGACAATAAAAACACTTTCTAGTATGACGTCATCATGCAACTAGAGTCTGAATCGTAGTGGTTATTGATTCTTTACTTTAGGTCCTATCTCTCATACCAACATTATTTCTTTTGTCTGTTCCTTTCTAACACCTATGTGTTGTTCTTCAAGATATGCCACCTAATACTTTCTATATTTAGTGGCACACATTCTGACAACATCTGGAGTACCTCATGTAAGCTTGATCTTCAAACAGGCAAAGTGGCTAAAAGAATTACTCTTAGAATTCTTTAAAATTCTTCGAAACTATGGTTGTTTTCAAAGACTTGAGTGCAATAAAACAATAGAACTTAATGAAACCAATAAGATGTGGTCATAAAAGATGGGCTTGTTAGGTTATGTTCTTCAGTTTCATCTGTATCAAGGAAATGGCTAATGGAAAACTACAATAATCAATGGAGAATGCTTCGAGAATTTTTTATGTTTACTTCTTTATTGGAAAAGCTTAAAGATAAGAAGACCTCTAAGATTTATTACTACTGCATTAAGACTTTTCAAATGGATAATAAAGTTAGCTACAAATATTCATGGAAGCTTAATAATAAGCCAAAAAGGTGGAATACCGTTGGGTACTACATTAGATTGCAAAAACTATATGAGAGGATTCTTCTTCTTCTTCTTCCAGCACTACAGTCTTCTTTGGACTTTGGCCTGCTCTATAATACGTTGTCATTTCGATCTATCAGGAGCTGCATGCTTCCAATTTCGCGAAACAAGCGTCTTGATGTACTCCATCACCTATATATAATATCCTTCCATCGTTTCTTCAGTCTTCCTGTAGCTCTCTGTTCTTGTGGTGTCCATGCCACAATTCGCTTCACTCCTCTGTCTCCCTGCATCCCTCCTAGATCTCCCAGCCATGCTATTCTCTGTGCTTTTGATGTGGCCCAATTCATAGTTCACTCTTATTCTCCACATTCTAGCATCATCTTGCGTCTTTCGCATCCATACATTAATCTTGGTTTTTGTATCTTACTCATCATTTGGTCTTTGTAGCACTTATTGCCGCTAAATATTGTAGCCTCGATTTCTCCAGTGACGTTATTTGTTTCTTGTTTATTCTTGATCTTAAATATATAAAGTTTTGCACTCATTTCTTTATGGTGTTATGCCCTCGTAAACATTTGGATTCACCCTAGTCAACCTATGCACCAAACTGAATCGGAAGGTGGGATTATTTCAACGGTATTGAGTTCCGAGGTGTAATCTTACGAAGTTGTCGGTCAAGCTGAATATCAGAATGTTACTTCAATCCACCTTGTCCCTTAAGTTTTGCATCCATCTTGATGGCTTGTGGCCGACTGTGCCATTATGAAATACGCGTGTGAGTCTTCAGGTTTGAATATTCTTTATTTTTAAAACAAAACATGTCAAGGCATCAAGATATATCTGATAGTCAACGTGAACAAATATATAGATAAATTATCTTATTACCGTGGTAAATGCTTCATCATGGCACATTATAAAATGCCATACATTTATTTTACATTTTTATAATCTTTTAAAGTGATTTTTTATGTTTTTTAGTAGTATCAAATTGGAATTTTTGAATCTATTTGCAAAGAGATATCTAAACTTTCCTACAAATTGCTTTATATTCCTATATTCATCATATAAGCTGGTTTCCAAATCTTTTCCCAAGCTTCATGAAAAAAGCTTCTCCCAAATATAACTATCACATTAAACAATGCTGAGATGAAAACTGATTTTTATGTATTTAACAATAAAAAATTCTTTTGGAAACTAATTGAATCACCTGTTCCAAACTGATTTTCAAATGTTTTTCTGAGCTAGAATTTGTACAAATCTTCATTTTCTTCTTACTACCACAAACTTAAAGTTTTTTGCAATTTGGAATTTTTCATTTCATTGCAATTAAATATTTCTATCATTTACCAAACTGGCGTTGCAAGTCTTTTTCCAATGGCGAACCTCAAAAAAAAGATTTCAAAGATCTTTTTAAGTTGAAACTTGAAATAAGTTATGATTGGATTAGATTCAAATTAATTTTTAAATTATTTTCTGTTCTTGGAGGTAAACATGTTCATAATTAGTTACTTAAAACTTTCTGCAAATAAATTTCCAAATTTTTTTTTACTCCAAAAACTCAATTTCTCTGCAAATCAGGTACTCGAATCATCAAAATGGTCTAATCTAGCACAATCTTCATCTAAACTAGTTTCAAAAACCTTTTTGTTGATTAGAAAATAAATTTCTATGATTTTTTCTAAAATTTTCATCAATTAGATTTAATCTTCCAAGTGATTATCAAACTCTCTGCCAAATTTTTGCAAATCTTTATGCCATCAAAAAAACTAAAATTATTTCAATTGGGGTTCAGTTTTGTTTTGAAATTGTTTTGAAATAGTAGATCAAATCTATTTCCAAGAAGGGCCATAAACCTGCTTTCTAAGTTTTAATTTCCCAAATATAACTATCATATTAAACAATGCTGAGATGAAAACTGGTTTTTATGTATTTAACTATAAAAAATTCTTTTAGAATCTAATTGAGTCATGTTCCAAACTGATTTCCAAATTTTTTTCTGAGCTAGAATTTGTACAAATCTTCATTTCACCATCTTCATTTTCTTCTCAGCATCACAAACTTGAAGTTATTTCCAATTTGGAATTTTTCATTTCAATGCAATTAAATATTTCTACCATTTTCCAAATTGGTGTTGCAAATCTTTTTCCAATGGCGAACTTCAAAAAGAAGATTTCAAAGATCTTTTTAAGTTGAAACTTGAAATAAGTTATGATTGGATTAGATTCAAATTAATTTCTAAATTATTTTCTGATCTTGGAGGTAAATATTTTCATAATTAGTTACTTGAAACTTTCTGCAAATAAATTTCCAAATTTTTTTTTATTCCAAAAACTCAATTTCTCTGCAAATCAGGTACTCGAATCATCAAAATGGTCTAATCTAGCACAATCTTCATCTAAACTAGTTTCAAAAGCCTTTTTGTTCATTAGAAAATGAATTTCTATGATTTTTTCTAAAATTGTCATCAATTAGATTTAATCTTCCAAGTGATTATCAAACTTTCTGCCAAATTTTTGTAAATCTTTATGCCATCAAAAAAACTAAAATTATTTCAATTGGGGTTCACTTTTGTTTTGAAATAGTTTTGAAATAGTAGATCAAATCTATTTCCAAGAGGGGCCATAAACCTGCTTTCTAAGTTTTAATTTCCCAAATATAACTATCATATTAAACAATGCTGAGGTGAAAACTGGTTTTTATGTATTTAACAATAACAAATTCGTTTGGAAACTAATTGAGTCATGTTCCAAACTAATTTCCAAATTTTTTCTGAGCTAGGATTTGTATAAATCTTCATTTCACCATCTTCATTTTCTTCTCAGCACTACCAACTTGAAGTTTTTACCAATTTGGAATTTTTCATTTCATTGCAATTAAATATTTCTATCATTTTCCAAGCTGGTGTTGTAAACCTTTTTTCAATGGCGAACCTCAAAAAGAAGATTAGATTCAAATTAATGTTTGTTCTTTCTGCAAAGCAATTTACTTACTCAGATCAACAAAATAGTCTAATCTAGCACAGTCTTTATGCAGACTAGTTTCAAAAACCTTTTTGTTGATTAGAAAATAAATTCCTATGATTTTTTCTAAAATTTTTATCAATTAGGTTCTTGATTTAATCTTCCAAGTGATTATCAAACTCTGCCAAATTTTTGCAAATCTTTGTGCCATCAAAAAAACTAAAATTATTTCAACTGGGGTTTAATTTTGTTTTGATTAAATAAATAATTCAAACTAAATCCTAATTTTTTTAGAACATAGTGTTCTATATCTTGTAATTGCATTTTTTTTGTAAATATTTTACTAAATTAAATTTTTGTCCAATTTAATGATATGGATTAAGGATGTAATTGGAAGAAATAAAATTGCTTTGAAATATTATAATTACTTATTTTAGTAATTTATTTAAAAATATAATAACAAAATATAGAAGGTTGGTCAACAAAGAAATATCTAGAACCTGTTTTTATATACAAGAGTATTTGTACTAGAAAGAGGCTATTTACAGAAACGATGACGTACAGATACTTCATCAGTCCCAACCGTGGTGTACATGGACTTTAACCCAAACTTTCTCCCAAATCGGTTTCCAGACTTTCTTCCACGCAGGTACTTGAATTTCTTTCCAAACGGGTACCCAAATTTGTTTCCATTCATCTTTCCAAAATTGTTTTTTCTCGGTAACCCAAGCTTGTTTCTTTTCAGTTCTCCATATCTGTACTTTTTCTTGTTTCCATATTAATTCTTTCTTGGGAATCCATATTTGTTTCTTTTCTGTTCTCCATATTTGTTCTTTTTTGGTAATCCATATTTGTTTCTTTTCGGTTCTCCAAATTTGTTTCTTTTCGGTTCTCCAAATTTGTTTCTTTTCCGTTCTCCAAATTTGTTTCTTTTCGGTTTTCCAAACTTGAACCCACGCTTCTTTCCATTCCATCTTTTTTTGCGGGACCCAAATCTGTTTCTTTTCGGTTCTCCAGATTTTTTTCCAAACAGGTTTCCAGATTAATTTCTTTTTCCATACATCGTGTGCCGTGTATTCGTTGCCGTGATGATCTTTTCCTAAGTAATGCTCTCCAGGTATTCCCATTTTCACCCAGTCGGGTACCCAAATCTTTTTCCAATCGGGAACTTGGATTTCTTTCCATGCGGGTACTTGAATTTCTTTCCAAATTGGTTTCCAAATTTTTTTCCACGCTGGGACTTGGATTTCTTTCCAGTCGGGGACTTGGATTTCTTTCCAATCGGGGACTTGGATTTCTTTCCAGTCGGGGACTTGGATTTCTTTCCAAGCTGGGACTTGGACTTCTTTCCAGTCGGGGACTTGGATTTCTTTCCACGCGGGGACTTGGGTTTCTTTCCAAATTGGTTTGTTTATCACTTTCCAATCGGGGACTTGGATTTCTTTCCATATCGGGACTTGGATTTCTTTCCAAATCGGGATTTGGATCTTTTTCCAGTCGGGTTTCCAAATCAATTTTTTATCTGTTTTCCAAACTTTAACCCAAATCGCTTTCCATGTTAACTTTTTGCTCCAATATCCTTCGGGTTCTGAATGAGATCTTTTCACACGTGAGACACTTACTGGATTTGATTCGCTGACAACGAATAAACACCCTAAAATTATCTAAAAAAAAGAAAGAAGAAGTCTTTTTAAGTAATCGCTCACTTTTGCTCTGCCAAACAACAAAATTAATCCACTTTTCGTAGCACTTTTTTATCTTGTTATCAAGACAGAGCAAAAAAAAATAAAATCAATCACTAACCAAGAGTGTGAGGCACTTCATCTTTCAAACTTTCGTTTCCCCCTCAGTCGGGGCTTAAAGTTGCGTTCTTCAGACGCACGAACAACACTGCTGGTTATCATTTCGCGATGGTGTTTTATACCGGCCACGTGTTTCGACCAACATCAACTTTCCCCCAATAACCCGAACTCCTGCTTCACCTCCTGAAAAGAGAACGTGGAGGAGCACAACATCCTGTATTAGTCGTGGGGATGGAGAAACGAATTTTTTGAAAATGTAGTGGGGGATTGAACTCTATGGTTTCGTTCACTTCCTATCTCATATCATTTTCGTTCCACAATCTCAATAAAATTAAAGATACAATTAAAAAAAGAAATAAAACAATTTTAATTAGGTTTAATCCCCAAAATAATCTTAATTAAATCTTTTTTTTTAATCTATGTAAATAAATAAAAGTGTTTCGAGTTTAATTAACCTTATTTGGCGTTTAATTGCGTTGAAATTTCGCCAACGACGACTGTTCAAGATGTGGAACTTTCTCGTAAGCTCAAAAAGAAGAGAGAATCAAGAGGAAACACGTGGGAGCAAACATTGTGAGGAAGCTTTTCACCGATAATAATACACTTATCTTTTACTCATCCATATAATGCAAGCGGTTTTCACTTGGTTTCTTATTAGAACGACGATTCTTTTTCAAAATTAACATTAAATTTATTTCAAATATAAAAATTAATTAACTTTCTAATACACGATTAAAATAAATTGCACAATGAATCAATAATTTTAATTAAATTCAACATCGAATGAAAGTTACCCACAACGAAATAATTAAAAAATTATTAATTTTTATCATAAATCACGTTTATGTAATGCAAAAATATTTGACTTTTTGCAACGAAATGTTGTAATTTTTAAAATGAATGATGATACATCCGCATTACACTATAGCCGATAAGCGAGGTGACTACATAATTTTTGTGCCACTTTTGTTACGTAATCGTAACAATTCGAATTGTCACAACGTAATGGCGAAAATTTCTTAGCGATCAGTTTCGATTAACTTAAATAGACGATTTGTGTTGCTCGATATGGATGAGTACATGTTAGAAAGCTTAGAACATTTTTTTAACGACTTTTTTTTGTATGCACCGTGGTTATGTTTTTTTTATGTGATTATGTAAAATAACGTGACCCATAAAGAACTAAAAATGTTTTTTTTTAGGTTAAGAGGAAAACAAATCATAAAAATTGTTTACGTGAAGCATCATCGGTTTTTTTTCTTTTTTTTGTATCTGCTAATTGCTTTGAGTCAGTGTTCTTTCTAAAAGGAAAGTAAAGTTGTGTAACAAATAAATATTACATCAAATTTTTAAGGTCTTTTGTTTATTACTTAAAAGTAATGATGAGTTGCAAATATTGACGCAGATTAGTTTTAGAACTTAGTTGACTAATGCCCACTTTTTGATGGACTTTCTTGAATAATTAAACGAACTTTATGGCTTTTGCAGGGATTTTATTTTTGCCAATTTTAAAGCAGAATCTTGTACATCTTGTATATGACAAAATCGTAAACAACAACAACTTTTTTATATCACTATGCTATATCACTATTATTTTATCTAACGGTTTAGTCAGTATATCAGCTATCATATCTTCAGTAGGTTTTTGGATCATCTTCAAATATATTTTCTGCATACTTTACACTTTCAATAAATCTCTTAGGTGGAATACCTCTATTTTTCCTTGTTGGATATCTATGTTCCTCTTCGGTTTGTTGTTTTTCTTCTTGTACCTCTTCATTCAAATTTTTTTGAATTCGAAATGGTTCTTGTAGATCTTCATTATTTTCCAGATTTATCATAATTATATTCTTTTCATTACAAGGTTTTTCAATGGTTATCTTTGGTTTATTACATTTTTCGTCGGCTAAAATTATATTTCTCGTAATCTTTACGTTTCTGTTATTAACAAGTATTCTGTAACCCTTTGTGTTCTCTTCATATCCAATAAATATACCTTTTTCTCCTCTATCATCAAGTTTTCGTCTGTCTAAATGATCATTATAATAATAAACTGTACNAATTTAACTAAAAGATGGTAGTAACGAGCCTAAGGGATACAGCGGTTTTACGTTGGTACAACCGGCCCTAAGCAAAATATTTCTCCCCTCAGTTAGTTTTATTGTTAATAATTAAATATTAATTTAAGTACGATATCTTTCACGGCCGGTGTTAATTGAACTAAAATTAGAACTAAAACTAGAACTAACACTAGAACTAGCACTAGAAAGTCTGCGTCTTTTAAGGTTTGTCATTGAAGTGACTTCGAACCAGATTCTGAAGAACGTTGCAACATGGTATCCGAAATGCCAAACCTTTTCTTAAAAGACGCACGGCAAAACTTGATATTTTTGATAACTTTGATATTTTGAATCATAACCTTTTGTTGGCTATTCTGAGGTTTATTGGTGTTTCTGATTGTGCTGTTTCCTTGTTTCGGAGCTATCTTTCTAACAGGATGCAATCGGTTAAGGTTAAATCCGTTTGTTCTGATCCTTCTACAATTGTAGCAGGTGTACCGCAAGGTTCTATTTTGGGTCCACTTTTATTTAGTATATTCACCAGCAATTTATTTTCAAAATTAACCTTATGTTCCTATCACTTATATGCGGNTGTACCACCTCCCGATAAGTTTATCCGATAGATAAATTGGCGCACTTAGGTCCATTACTACCATCTAAATTTATCTTATAGATAAACCCATCTACTAGCCAATCAGAGCGCGTGAAATAGCCGTAACTGTGGTAATAATCCCTTAGATAGCATAACCAGAAGATGGTAGTAACGAGCCTTAGCCAATGATATCGCTTAAAACCGCTGTAACCATGGTAATTATCCATGGTATTAATATATTAAGGGATACAGCGGTTTTAAGTTGGTACAACCGGCCCTAAGTAAAATATTTCTCCCCTCAGTTAGTTTTATTGTTAATAATTAAATATTAATTTAAGTACGAAGGCTTTCACGGCCGGTGTTAATTGAACTAAAATTAGAACTAAAACTAGAACTAACACTAGACCTAGCACTAGAAAGTCTGCGTCTTTTAAGGTTTGTCATTGAAGTGACTTCGAACCAGATTCTGAAGAACGTTGCAACATGGTATCCGAAATGCCAAACCTTTTCTTAAAAGACGCACGGCAAAACCCGAAAGCTTCTAGTGTCAGGTCTAGCTTTAGTTCTAATTTTAGTTCAATAAATATTAATTATTTTTAAATTTATTCCATAATTTTCCCGCACACTGTATATTTCAAAAAATGTTATGAAAAGGGCTCACATCTTGGACTTTCAGTATCAGGGATTTGATTAGTATTATGGCTTTTTTCTAGAGCTTGCAATGTTTGCAAAGGATGCAGCAAGTTCCCCAGTCTCTTCTCCATAATGTCTTATCTTATGTATTATGTCTTTATCTTCTGCAAATGATTCCATAAAACATCTCACAATATGGGGATGAGCATTATTCTATGTTCCAACGGCTGATGATATAAAAGAATTAGGGTTTTACCACCTAGTAGCAACTACTACAAGCAGTTCTAGTTAATATTGTCAAATTGGAGAGTGTTAAAAAATTGAATAATTTTTTCTGCTTCGTTCCTCTTGATTGCTTCTGCTTAGAGACTGAAGAGATTTGTCGCCTAAAACTTTCAAACTACGTGTACAGTTTGCAGTCGTTGATATAGTGCTAATTTCTTTTGCAACAGCCGTGTTTCAGAGTTGTGATCAACTAAACTTAACGCTACCCTTCCTCTTCGATTCGCAAACAGTAACTACTTAGTGACTGGTTGGGGATCGAATTAACTTGGTTTGTATGTCTCGCAGCATTTCGTCATGCTTCGGATCCTGCAGTAGGAACACTGTGATAAGCATGGGTGATTAAGCAAGGAAACATCATTAAGTTTCTTAGGTAGATCCATTATAGTTCGTAATGTACTTGGTAGTCTGGTCAGTGAGCTTTGCCTAGGGAATTATAGCATTTTTTAACATAGTTTAGAATGCATACAAAATAAGAAATTCATGGAACAGATGTGGAAAGACGTTTGTCGACAACTTGAGCGCAGCGTATTCAGGTTCTCAATAAAAGAATGAGAACACTCGAGGCGTGACACAACATGACGAGGACACCATCCAAAGGCAGTACTATAAGCTCTTCCTCACAATCTCAGAAGAAGTCAACAGAAGAGAACAGCATTACGCATAGAGGAGCAAGACGATCCCCTCATCAAGAAGAAGATGATGCCCTGCCCAGCTGACCCGTAGACCAGTTGGCAGTTTTGCAAAGATGACCTGTGAATCTTGTGAAACCTGGTACAACCTTGTATAATCATATCGCTCCCTCTGCCCCCTGGGTGTAGTCAGAACGTTGTTCGAAAAAATAATCGTAAGGAGAATATGTATCATGGAAGCAATATAAAGCCTTCTGGAGACGTATTTATCGCAGAGTACGATTCTCCTCCAAAACAAAGAGCTGAGGGCAATGCGCTGCAAGGTACCACAAGAACCGTGGTGTGTGGCACGTTATGGAATCAGTACTACAAGAAAATCCTCACCGTAATACCGTAGGAAAGAGTCAGAGTCGTGTAGCTACTCGAATGATTTTGCGATTGTAGTACAGAGGGCAACAAGAAAAGCAATAATTAACAAAGCCGTGTACTCAAAACAGTCGCTAACTGGCTTACAAATTTAATATGAACCTCAAACTTTTCAGGTTATCTTTTTAATTATTGCTGAGTTTCCAGTCGTTTTCTCTATTCATGTTATTAATGTGCGGTTGTGTAACACTTGAAACATAAGGAAGGTAGATAAAACGAACTGGTGTAGTACTTACCGAGTCTTCCCTCTGTTTGCGTGGTTTGGTGGCTCGTTGGATATCCCTCATTGTGTAGCCGTTCTTCTGCAGTACATCTTGTAGGAAACTCTCTTCTTTAGGTAGCCTGCAGGTATCTATTCGTATGCGTCCTTTTTCGATATACTCCCAGTTCCATACCCCCACCCGTCTTCCTAGTGACCAACACATCCAAGAATGGTAACTGTTTTGCAGTTTCCGTTTCCATGGTAAATTTTATCATCGGTCC